TTGTTACAGATGGTCGACCAGATCGAGGACGGTCCTTAACATTCTGGGTGGCAACATGTTTTCTGACCAAACGGCTGAAATTATGAACATTGCTCAACATCATGAAAATTAAACCTTATTTTCAATAAGCAATCCTGAAAAATATTTGGGGGTGCTTAACTTTTTTCCAGGTGTATATACAAAACACTGTAATTTTAAACAAAGAAACAAACATCAACAAATGCAAAATAAAGGAAGCTATCTTAATTAAACAAAACAGCCCTATTCTAAACCAACCAACATCCTGAGGTACAAAGGTTCCTTTACTAAGCTGTTAAGCAATGTCTGGCCATGTAACATCTTTGTTTTATACTGTATAAATATTCCTGTGTCTGTGTAAGCTGCTTATACCTGATGGTGATAAAAGCTTATCGAAACAAATTAGATTTGTAATAAAGTTTCTTTCACTACCAATTGGAGTCACCTCTACACTTCAGTAACCGATATTAGAATCTTACATTAAGAGTATCATTTATTGAATGTACACTATAATGCTCACCTTCTTTCTAAGAAAATAGCTTTATGTTAAAATACTTTAAATTAATACTCAAATACTAGAGTTGCTGACAACTAATTACTTAGTAAAAGTCTGATAAACATAGATTTAATCACTGATAAAGTTTAAGATGGTTGCTTTGAAATCTGCAATATTCACTTACCATATTAAACATTTTAATTCTTAAGTTTAATATGATTTGTTCAACATAGAAAAACAGAATCAAATGCCTTGAAAAATATCAAAATTAAATAGATTTATGCTATGATAATTTTACACGTTACTGGTGATTTTATTAGCTGTGTAATATGTTTTAAAAACCCAAAAACAACAGTTTCTAAGGATAAATCTCAAAAAAAAAGACAAGTCAATGTTCTGTTGAAACATGTAGTATGTTCTCTACATAGAATAATTTTCATTACACTCATAAACTATTGTTTATGAGTGTACCATCAAATCAACATAATGTGCTACCATACACAAGTAATATCACATGCTACACTATGAAAAATGGTAAAGAATGAGTTACAAGACATTAATGTCTTACTCATAAATTTCATTAAGGTAACAGTAGGCATTTACAGAAATGAACTAGATAGCAAATAAAAATTAACATTAAACATACTGTACTGCTAACATTAATATAACTGCTAAATTAGGAATTTAAACCAAAAATTAGGGGAAATATACCAGCAAGATGATATGTAAGAAGGCACCAATGGCAACTTTAAGATAAAGATGGCAACTTTATCACCAATGGCAGCAATATTATACTGTATTATGAATACTAAAAGTGGTTTACTTCAACAAATAATAATTTCAAACAAAATAATTCAGTGTAAAATTCTCTCTGAAACATTTTAATGCTTCCTATAAAAAGCTGTTTCTGATTTTCTATTAAAGTAAAATGTCTGACTTACATAACATATGGATATGAAGGAATGGAACAAAAACCTTAACTCTTCCAAACAACATGGGAAGGAAAATAAAAGCTTACTCATTTGAGCTCATGTGTCTCTCCTTTAATTTTGTTTTTTAACAACAATTACCTCTGATAATTTTAAAAGATAAACAGCACCAATGGATAAATAACCAGCAGAGTTATCATTTGGTCATTCACCTTATCCTGCACAGTATCATTTAGAAGCAAAATACTGATCATAAAAGTTATAACATAAATGGAAAGTATCAATGAATATAGATAACTTATACAGGAATGAATATTGATAATGAAAGAGAAGAAAAAACCAAGTAACAACAGGATACCACTATCTGTTTTTTACAACATTTGCTGTTTCACCAATGGCAGTATCCATTTGTTAAAATAACTACATTGTTTCTCACTAGTATGTGCCCTTTGAATATTTTTCAGTCAGTCCAACCAATCAGGTGTTATGTTGCTCTAAATATATAGTAGATCCCTCCTATTGCAGCATCCCTCCCAACAGGAATATCAAAGACAGATCACACATGAAGGCATCCATCAATAGCAGAAGAGGAAGTCCACTAAATATTTTGAAGTACTGCTAAATTTAACTAAATTAAAAACTCTTTTAACCAGTATTAATGAACTTTGTATTATTTTGAGAAAACTGTACTTACCAGATGTATTTTGAAACTCAGACTCAATTTCTTGCAAGTTTTCTTGATATTCTTTTTCCTTTTTCACATTAATAGCATTATCTTTTAAACAATCTAAGTCATTATCAATGTCACCGAACTTTGAAATAACCTCATGATGTTGTAAGGCATCAGATTGTCCAGTTTCCTCTCTGATAGATGTGTTCTGAAATAGAACAATTAATAATAAAATATAACAACACTGAAGTAGATAAATCCATTTAGAGTCACCACATTTTATTTACTATATTCAAAATAAGATGATATAAAACATAGTTGGGAATATGTGCCTGACAAGTTGCTCCAGTGAGACAGACATTTTACTGACAGAGAAGGAGAGATTATTACCAGTTATCAGAAATTACACCACTAAAACAGAACTAGTCACTGGATAGGTGTAGGTTAAATACTGGTCACACATGTGTGATGGGAAATAGTGAAACAATACAAATAGAGGATGCACTGCAAGCAAGTTTATTTTAGAAGTCTTGTATATATTCTATTTCACTCCAAGAACTTTTTATTCACTTACACAATAAGCATTAAAACACTTCAAATAGTTTTTAATATTGACAGTTTAGTCGATGTATTTTATGCTTCAAACAGTCTGGTAAGTCATTCAAGTTTTTTATAATTTAATTAATAGCAGACCTCCTACCACTTTCAATGGTATAACTTGAATCATTAGACCAAGTTATTTTAAAACCTAACAATAACAACAGTATGAAACATAAAATCTAGAATGTTTGATAGTATTTTGAGTATGACCTGAGCCTTACAGACACTTGTATTAATGTTTTATTAACTGAAAACAATGATGAAATAGTAAGAATGAAGTATTGAGCAAATAAGAATACATTCTGGAGATATAGGTCATTTATTTTTTTTGTTTATAATAAAATAAACATCATTTCTTGACAACAGTGATTAGTGAGGTTACTAGTTAATCTATCCTTAGAACTTGGGATTGAGTTTATAACACATGATTACAACTACATTTAGTTGATCAATCACACGTTGGTGAACAGAACATATAGTTACATTTAGTTGATCAATCATGTGTTGGTGAGCAGAACATATACAGTTACTTGAAGATAGCTTTTATATGCGGAAACATCTGTTAGCTGAGTTCTTGCATGGATCTTAAAATATAACATTGATAAACGGAAACATCGGCACATGT